GACTCTGGTGGTGAGCCGGGACTGACATACCGGATCGTTAGCCCTATGGACTCAGATGGACAAGGACAGGTTGTGCATTACAATAGGTTGAGACCTTATACATTGCCGGTTCCCACACTGTCATCTGATGAGAGACTATCTATGGTTCCTCATTCTTTGCCTGATTCCCCTTCTAAAGAGTCTGACATGTTAAGGGGGTTGCAGCACAGTAAACCTCAAAAGGATTTAAGTGAGGCACTGGAGGGACCTGATAAATGCATACCTGGTGTGAGTAGGGCTGGGAGGAGGTTGAAACCCCCTGGTTGCTTAAAAGATTTCGTACTGTACTAATGTACATGTTAACATATATATATATATATATAAAGGATTGGACAAAATGACGACTGTTTAAGTAAATTGTACTGGTGTTTTAGATGGTACAAATTGTTTTAGGGTGAGATGCAGATTAAGGTATTATGCATGTTAATGCTTATTATTATTGTTTTGTTGCCTGTTCTATCCTTTACTGTTTGAAAGATAAACGAGTGCCCCCTAACTGGTTGGGCCACCCTTAGCAGCAACAACTGCAATCAAGCGTTTGCGATAACTTGCAATGCTTGCAATGAAGCGCTGTGGAGGAATTTTTGTCCACTCAGCTATGCAGAATTGTTGTAATTCAGCCACATTGGAGGGTTTTCGAGCATGAACCGCCTTTTTAAGGTCATGCCACAGCATCTCAACAGGATTCAGGTCAGGACTTTGACTAGGCCACTCCAAAGTCTTCATTTTGTTTTTCTTCAGCCATTCAGAGGTGGACTTGCTGGTGTGTTTTGGATCATTGTCCTGCTGCAGAACCCAAGTTCGCTTCAGCTTGAGATCACGAACAGATGGCCGGACATTCTCCTTCAGGATTTTATGGTAAACAGCAGAATTCATGGTTCCATTTATCACAGCAAGTCTTCCAGGTCCTGAAGCAGCAAAACAGCCCCAGACCATCACACTACCACCACCACCATATTTTACTGTTGGTATGATGTTATTTTTCTGAAATGCAGTGTTACTTTTACGCCAGACGTAATGGGACACACACCTTCCAAAAAGTTCAACTTTTGTCTCGTCAGTCCACAGAGTATTTTCCCAAAAGTCTTGGGGATCATCAAGATGTTTTCTGGCAAAACTGAGACGAGCCTTTGTTCTTTTTGCTCAGCAGCGGTTTTCGTCTTGGAACTCTGCCATGCAGACCATTTTTGCCCAGTCTCTTTCTTATGGTGGAGTCATGAACACTGACCTTAACTGAGGCAAGTGAGGCCTGCAGTTCTTTGGATGTTGTTGTGGGGTCTTTTGTGACCTCTTGGATGAGTCGTCGCTGTGCTCTTGGGGTAATTTTGGTCGGCCGGCCACTCCTGGGAAGGTTCTCCACTGTTCCATGTTTTTGCCATTTGTGAATAATGGCTCTCACTGTGGTTCGCTGGAGTCCCAAAGCTTTAGAAATGGCTTTATAACCTTTTCCAGACTGATAGATCTCAATTACTTTCTTTCTCATTTGTTTCTGAATTTCTTTGGATCTCGGCATGATGTCTAGCTTTTGAGGATCTTTTGGTCTACTTCACTTTGTCAGGCAGGTCCTATTTAAGAGATTTCTTGATTGCGAACAGGTGTGGCAGTAATCAGGCCTGGGTGTGGCTAGAGAAATTGAACTCAGGTGTGATAAACCACAGTTTTAACAGGGGGGCAAACACTTCTTCACACAGGGCCATGTAGTTTTGGATTTTGTTTTCCCTTAATAATAAAAACCTTCATTTAAAAACTGCATGTTGTGTTCACTTGTGTTATCTTTTACTAATATTTAAATTTGTTTGATGATCTGAAACATTAAAGTGTGACAAACATGCAAAAAAAATAAGAAATCAGGAAGGGGGCCAACACTTTTTCACACCACTGTATATAAGATAAATAGTGACTCGTGTCCTAGAAATTAATCAATGAATTAATTAATATATGAATTTAATGAAGTATTGTATGCTCTGTTAAGGGACTCACTTGTATTGTGCATTACATTTGTTATTATGCTTACAGATTGAGAAATGTCCGATGCTGTCTCGTGGCCAGACAAACTTGCTTGGAGGTGTGCTGAAATGCATCTGTGGTTTTCACACTCCAAAGGTAACATTAATGTAGCAAGTATTTTTTGTTAGTATTATTTACTGAAATGGTTTTCTTTCTGAATTGTTACATGTATTTTTTTTGGGCTGTCTTAAACAGCCAACTGCCAGCCCTACTGGACCAGCACAAAGGGTGGTGGAACAACCTGCTGCTGCTGCTGGAACAGCAAAGAAGGCCATGGAGCAGAGTCAGCCGGACCCCCAGCCCCAGCCTACTGCTCCTGTGGCAGCAAGAGTTGCAGCACAATTGTCAATGGTGAGTTGCAATTTTTTTTTTAAAGCATTGAAGTATGAGTTCACTTCAAATTCGAGGAAGTTCAGAAAGTAAGAAGAAAGCAAGAAAACTAAGAGATGCTGGCTGAGACCTACTAATTGTCACACCTCTTGTACAGTGGGGGCAGCTGTTGTCTGCTGATTGGTCGGTTTGAATATCTCAGATTTGGTTTAAGTCACATGGTCAAGGATAAATGAAGAATGTAACCTGTGTAACATTGGTTTTGCTTTGTTTCACAGAACTAATCGTTGCCTGGGTTGCGTACGTATATATGGGGCGGAGCTATCAAAATAGGGGCAAGACCCTTTTGGGGTAGGGGCATGTTTGTTTTGGTGATTTCAAATATCAACATTGGCTACCAGAAATCGCTTACTCTGCCTTTAACGAGAGCGCCCAGTTGTGCCATGTGAGTTTCTTTTGGAGTTAAGAAGAATAAAAAGTACATCGTTCATATAATACCTGAGTTTCACTTTCTTTATTTTATTATTTGAAAAGTGTTTAGGCGAACCCGAGGCGTTAGCTCGGTCACATTATTAACATGTAAAAGATCTCAGTCATCATCCAAATTCTTTAATTTAGAACAGCAAGCTGCAAGAACAGCTTACATTTCCAAAAACCTGCAGTACTCGAACAAGAAAAAGTTCGTACGTCTGCTCAGATCCTGACATGACGCTATAAGCACTTTTCCAGTTTTTACAAATATGAGCGCTGGCGTGGATTTAAGTGTACGCGCACTCTAAGATCAAATCTGAGCGTACGCACGCTTTATAAATGAGGCCCCAGATGTGCTAAATCAGTAGCCATATTTAAATCAAGACTCAAAACTCATCTGTTTAGCTGTGCATTTAGTGAGTGTGCACTGTGCTACGTCCGAACTGATTGCACTGTATTTTATGTATCATCATTTTCTATTCTTAGCTGTTTCAAATCATTTTAAATCAGTATAAAATTTTAATTCCTTGCTTTTGTTGTTGAGATTATTTTATTTTATTATTCTATGTAAGCACATTGAATTACCATGAAATGTGCTATATAAATAAACTTGCCTTGCCTAGGTAATCAGTAATAATAATAAGGTTATCATTGATATTTCTGGATAGTGAGCAAAGTTTCAAGGAGCCAAAATAATTTTTTTTAAAAGAATCCGACTAAAGAGAAAACTCTACAAATTTTGAAGATTTTTGTGAGCAAACAGAATATAAAATGTATAAAATTCTATTACTGAACAAGAACAAAATCAACATGCAAGCAAACAATTGTTCTTGAGAAATTAATTTAACATAAAGAATGCTGGGAAAAGTCACTTCTGCTTTGTATTCCCCCAATACACTACTTCCCGCAAACGGGTAAGAATTTCCAAGTGTCTACTTTATAGATATTTTATATCACAGGAATAAATGACATTTTAAAATGTATTCAAAAACATGTATTTTTATGAATTGTAATAACATTTTACAGCATTACTGTATATTCAGATCAAATAAATGCAGCCTTGGTGAACATAAGAGACTTCTTTCAAAAACATTTTTAAACATTTTATTATTTTAAAAATGTAAGAGAAATGATTTTGAGAAACTGCCCAGAAAGAGAAAGTAGGCTTCCTCTATCATAAGTTTTAAAAGCAGATTTAATGTGACAAATTCTGTCCATTTTCTAATGTCTTTATTGTTAACAGATTGACTTAAAGAGACCTACTGTACATGTTCCTTAAAAATCTATAATTTCCTTATTCCTAATTTCTATTTCATGAAATATCTACTTGTTTAATTACTTCCTGCTAAGATGTCATTATCTCATGAAGGCCCATCCCTTTTGCTAGGATATAAAATGATCACTGAAACACATTATTTCATTTGCCTCCTGACCAAAGATGGATCTGCAAATCTCAGTTGTCCTTCTTTTTATTCTTTTCACTGAAGGTACAAAGACAAACAGTGTTGGTTTATAATGTTATTATGTACAAATACAGGATCTCTCCTCTCTCACTGTCTCTCTCTTGTTTTATTACTAAAGGATACTGATACTCTCTCAGCTGTTATCAGTGTGCAAGTCAGATGGGTTCGTGTCCAGATCAAAAGGTATACAAACATGTGACAGTGGATCTCGGTGCATAAGTTTAACATCAGTGACACACATTGGTAAGTCCAGTATGATGGATTCAAATGTATTGTTATATTTGACTGATGGAGATGTACAAATGTATATAAGTATATTTTCATATATTTATATTTATGCATTTGAACTTGTCATGCCAGTATCATTATTATTATTTTTTTTTTTGTAGGTGATACTGCTGCTACAGTTAAGGTTAAAAGTTGTGCTTCATCAAATGACTGTAAAATTTGGTCCTTGAACTTCGGCAGTGCAAAGATATCTTCTTCCTGCTGTGACACTGACCTTTGTAATGGCCAGGATCCTCCAGATATTAAACCTTAATTATCATATTTAAATGAAGCAACGATAAACACTCTTTTTACTTCTATAATCAGGGGAAAAAGTAAAGTGGGATTTTCTATTGGGAACTGAATGAATGGAGCAGCCAGCGGGTTTTTGTTTCATTAGATATCTTTTGTACTTTTTTTTTCAGTCCAGCTCCTATGGAAAGAAATGTTACTCTTGTGATGAGAAGAGCTGCTCAAACATATTGAGCTGTACAGGGAGTGAAGACCAGTGCCTTAAAGCAACGGGTGAGAATCTGATAAAGAAAAAGATTAAAGATTACTTTTTTTTTATCTCTCTTATGTTTAAGCATTTGAAACAGATCCTATATACCAGGAAAGCTTAGACTAACCTTTCTTTTCATCAGGGAGTTTCGGAGGCAAGTCAATGGTTCTAAAAGGCTGTGTCTCTGAAGCCATTTGTAATGCCACAACATCAGTCCCTGATGTTCAGAGCATCTCATGTTGTGAGGGGAACCTGTGTAACGGTGCTGAGAGCGTCACTCAGAGCTTCCTGTTCCTGTGCTGTTCTCTGCTCTCCTTCATCCTGCTGCTGCACTGAATCCAGCAGCTCTTCACATTCTACACTGAGACACACTGTACTGAATATATGGCTTAAGTTTTCTCTCTACTATATTTGGCAAATATAACAATCACCTTTAGACTTTTTCTGGGTTTATTTTCAATAAGCACAATGCATGCATAGGACAAGAAATTTGTTCATTCTACTGTTAATCAGAGGACATCATTAGCCTATCTTTTAGATTATACATTAGTCAAAGGAGTACAATAATTTGTAATTAAGTTACTAGCTGACTGATATGTTTTTAATTGCCAATTTCTTGTCAACAATAGCTGATATGAAGCTGATATTTACAACATAATTTAACTGGATAGATAAAGTTTGATGACAAACTATCTGTTTGAAAGTTTTACTCAGAAATCCAAAAAAGTCAGTCAGTTTCAGTAAGTTGCTAACATGCTTTTGCATGTTCCTAACATGTTTTAACAAGTTGCTAGCATGTTTTAAGTTGTTAGCATTTTGACATGTTGCTAGCATGTTTTGACAAGTTGCTAACACGTTTTAACAATAATATTGGTAATTTTAGTAAAGAATATTTCTAGCATGATTTATCACATTGCTAGTCCTTAACATGTTTAAACAAATTGCTAGCATGTTTTAATAAACATAATAAACAAAAAAAACTTTTTTTTTCTTTGAAATATGCTTTTCGACCTTTTGGAAATGTTGCACATCGTAGAAACAGCTATTTAAATAAAACTTAAAATGCATTTAGCATCATTTACCAGCAGGTGGCAGCAGATGATCTGTTGTACCAAAACAACACTTTGCACTTGTGGAAGCTACATGCTGAACAACCGAACCAAACGGGCTTTAGGTGGAGAAATCATCATCTTCTAAACTCCCATGAAGATTGACAGTGCTTATTGGTTGGCCTCTGATACTAATAAACAGATCAATAAATGGATAAAGAAAAAACTGTTGTAGAAAATGTAACCAATTTTATCAGAGGGTGCAAAAATCAAATGATGACCATTATGTTTGTTCGAGCTCAAATTTAATCTTGTGCATTTGACATGACAATAATATTAACATCTTTTACTAAAGCAATCACATGGGTTGCTAAATATGTCTTGTGTTTGTCTCTTGTACAACAAAACTCAAAACACCCAAAGCAAGCTACTGTCTGATCAATCAGAGGTTATCAGATATTTTTGTGCTGATTTATTTAAAGCTATAGAGTGAGTTCCACATTTAATCAATAACTGAACTTTCACATAGTCCCATTCTGAGCAAAAGACCCAGCATATCAGCAGCACTGACCGTGACAGAGTGGCAGAGCTGCAGTGTGTCGCTGTGTCTCTGACCTGTTCTGGGGACAAAATTGACAGCAATGAGTTAAATAAATAACCATTTTATTGTGGATGCCATCAAAGGAAAAAAGCAGCTCATAAATATATTGTATTCAAATTTGTTCTCTTTTTTTCTTTTAGGCGTAAGATAATGTACTATGTGCGATATTGCATGTAACACTGCAATCCTGAACTGCAAGGAAAAAAGAATTATGAAATAATTATGAATTAAAAAACAGAATTAAAACAAACAAAATAGTCAAAATATAAAAAAAATACAAAATATAAACAAAAATAATATAAAGAAAGAATGCAAAACAAAAAAAAATGTACAAAAAAATAAGATTTAAAATTTACATTTACTTTAAAAATAAAATGGAGAGACATTCAAATCCCCCTGTGATTCAAGGCTTTCATATAAAAATGTGCAGAAAAGAATTGCAAAATAAATATATATTAATCTATAAATAAAGAACATAATAATTAACAAAAAATAAATTTAAAAAAACATGAAGAAAAAACGTGGAAAATAATAATAATAATAATAAAAAAACACACATTTTGCCCCTTCCAAAATAAAAATAAAATAAATAAATAATATAAAATCATGTGGCACGGAATAAGGAAAAAACACAAAACTACATTAAAAAATTGATAGAATGAACATGCACCATAAAAATGTCAGATAACAAAGTAGCCTACTTCAAAATTGAAAAAGATCGAGCGAGCGATTGATCGAGAGAGAGAGAGAGAGAGAGAGACCGAGAGCGAGAGCCATTGGCAGCGTGCTCACCTGATTGCGGGGCTTCTTTTGATCTTCTGCCGCATCAAAGGGTAATTTCGCCCGCGGCGCTCAGAATGAAATGATCACCGGCACCGTTACATCTACACTGACGCTTTTCACCCACAGCATGACCATGAAGAAGAGCAAACCGATTGCTCTGGACCGGCGCGATATTCATTCCCTGCTGGATGTGATCGGCGGCTTCGGTGCCGTAGTTTCCGTGGGGATCATTGCCATGCTGTCGGTGTGCGCTGCGTTCTTCATTTACCGATCCTTTAGAGGTCAGCGCGGGAAGGGTGGCCAGAATAACGGCAACGAAACGACGATAGCGACGGCAGAAGGGAGTACGGCTCGGAGGAGGAAAAGAGAGAGGGATGATCGACCTACCGAGTCAACAGGTAAAACCTGACAATTGTTGAAACATGGTATGCGTATGCTAAATGTTTGTGCGAGACTTTTTTTGCAATACCACATGTAAAGTATGACTATGACTTATCAGATGTCACTGTAACAGGCAAAACCACACATGCCGATGTGACAGCCATACACGGCAAAAATGTGTTTTGGTGAGCGGCCCGCGCTGGTTTTTGGCCAGTCAGAAAACTTATCCAATCAGAATCGTTTTCTGCATGTCCATCACTTTGCACGTTTGCAGGCTGAAATTTGGAAGGCGGACTTTTAGATTGGCCTATTGATTATGTTATTGATTTTGGTTATCATAATGTTTGGAATAATTTTATACAAATCTAGGTCACACGACTAGAGCATGCAACATTTTTTGGACATGGCAACAAATAGGATATGATGTCATGCTTCAGTTTTTAATAATTAATAACGTAAAAAACAATGCTCTGTCTAAAACGTTACAGTAAAGCCACACATAGGCACAAATAATAAAACATTAAAAATACGGAAATATACACTATCATTCAAAAGTTTGGGGTCAATAATTTTTTTTAAATGAATAGTTCTATTCAGCAAGGATACATTAAATTGTTTAAAAGTGATATAGTCATTTATCATTTTACAAAAGATTTCTATTTCAAATGAATGCCGATTTTTAATGATAATAAGAAATTTGGAATGATTTCTGAAGGATCATGTGGCACTGAAGACTGGAGTAATGATCCTGAAAATTCAGTTTTGCATCACAGGAATAAATTACAAATAACATATTACAATATAATTTTTTATTTAGTTCGTTTTTTTTTTTAAATTTTTACAATATTACTGTTTTTACCATGTCTTTCATCAAGTAAAAAATTCAAACATTTGACAGACCCCAAACTTTTGTCTTTCCTGCAACACTGCAAACCTGCAGCTTTGAGTATTGTGGTTTTTAATTCAGCTAAGAGGTCAGTCTGAACAGGTTTCTTACATTTATTTGCACACTGAATTGTTACTAGTGTTTTCTTTTCTTACATCTCTTTAACCATCAAACAGGTCTTTACACTGCAAAAGCAGCAAAGAAGCCTTGTCTTGTCTAAATGTTTGCTGGCAATTATATTCCACAGTCTTGTGCAGCAGTTTGAGGGTTGATTTAGAGATTGACTGTGACTCTTGTGTTTAGCTGCCAGAATACAAGATGATCTGAGTGTCGTGACAGTGCAAAGTTGAAGGCATGCAGCTCTGATGCAGCATCTCATTTCATACAGCCAAAGTCTGAAATGTACACTTAAACACTATTATTTAGCTGGTTCATAAGCACTGGTATTTCCTTCTAGAAATGCAAATCTAGTTAGTTAGTCCTAAAGTTAGTTTTTTTCTCTTTTCTTTTTTTTCTTTTTTTTTTTGCTCGATTACTGATGATTTTTGGTTGATTTATTACTTACAGAGGCAAGTAACCTACTTCGACTGCAGGTCATTTACATTGACTATTTTTTGATTTAAAAACAGTGACATGGACTTTTCTCATGAACGGATCAAATATTGTTTCACAACCATAAAACCAATGAAAACATTAATGCACAAATAACATTTTGAGTCAAAATAAGAATGAAAAAGATGTAAAGCGATAAAAAAAGACTGTTCTTTGCTAAAAGAATTCCCATATAAATGTTTAATCACTTGAAGCGCATGTGACGTAATGCATTTTCTTTCTCTTTTAGGAGAATGTCAGGGTGGAAAGCAGAAGAAGTGCAGTAACCTCTCCTCCACCGACAACATGCTCCTTCCTACTGAGGTGCCAGAGAAAGATCTGAATGAAAGCACTCTTAAGGATTTGGAGGAGATCACAGATGAGCTCCTAACAGACTTGGAACCCGAAATGGGAGAAAAAACGGATTCTGATCTGGATCAGTGTGTAGAAATGGATCCTGATGAAAACACAGAATGTGAGGAACAGATTCAGCATGAGGATGATGATGGACGTGAGGTTTTGGCTGATGTGAGTGTAGGTTTGACAGAATTGGACATCCAACGCAATTCTGTCGAGAAGGAAATTGAGGAATACCTTGACAAGTCTGTGAGTTTGGACACGGATGAGCCGTCTGAAACTGAAAGCGCTCGGGAGATCATTTATCAGAGACATCAAGATCACATCACAACTCAAAGTAATTCTTCTCCAGACCAAGCCCCATCCAATCCCAGCAAGATCCATTTAGAGGAAAACAGCAAGACGTCAACGGTGGAAGAAGCGGAGAACACCAGCAAGAAGTTTGAAGACCATCATGATTGGCGTTTTCCACGAACAAATAACTTTGATTGCTGTTGCTGTGATAAGAAGACAGATACGATGGAGAAAATAAAAGGCCAGCCATGGTTTCACACTGGAAGCTACGCAACAGACGCCATAAACCTGAGCCCAGCTGTGGAAACCATGGTTAACCACAGCAGCAGGTTTGACTTCCAGAACTACTTGGGTTTCCAAACGGATAATACGTTCATGGGTGGGTCTTCAACACAGATGAGCCTCTCACAAGAGAAGAAAACCGACGAAGAGGGTGCGTCAGTGCAGAAGAAACACGAAAAGAATGAAATCAGCATCATGGACGCTATTATGGACAATAATGAGTGGCTAAACGTAGGTGCATCAGAGTTCAGAGATCTTCCTTGGCTTTCGCCAACTGCAAGTGAAGAAAAACAGACGCAACAAGAAAAAGAAGGGCAAGTCAAGACCAGTTTAGCCAAAGACGATGAAGAACCGGTGAATAAAAGAGTAGCGACTGTTCCGCCTTTATCTCAAACGGTTAACGTGACCTTCAGGATTCACTACATCACATATTCTCCTAACCAGCTGGTGGCTGTTACCGGGAGCCTACAGGAATTGGGGGCCTGGGAGAGATTTGTTCCACTGCAGAAAGCCAAGGACGGGTTCTGGGCCAACACTATCAGCCTCCCTGTGGAGAGCCAGGTGGAGTGGAAGTTCGTCCTGGTGGAAGATGGAAGGATCTCTCGCTGGGAGGAGTGTGGAAACCGCTATCTCTTTTTAACAAGCCAAGATGAAGACATCTATCTTGACAAGTGCTGGGGATGTTGTTGAACTCAGAGGTGACTATCTTCTAGGGCTGCACGATTAATCAAAATAAAATTTAAAATTGCGATACGGCTGCGGTTTAAGTAAATAAATATAAGCGCTGTGTGTTTCAGAGTGAAGCGAGCGGCAATGTGTTTTTACAAGTGACCAGTTTATTCGGAGCATATCATCGCGGTAAATGCCGCTTTTTTACACCATCTTTATCTCTGCATCTGCTCTAATTTTTGGTCGCTTTAGCGGTAAATTGGGAATGGAACATCCTCCAACCATCTTCCCATATTTGTAATGGGAAACGCTTGTTAACAAAAAAGAAGCTCGCTGCGGTTTTCTGTCAAAATAAAAGTTTATTAGATTTTTTTGAAAATAAATAAAGACAGCAATAAATACTAGTATTGTAATGTTTCATATAAAATAAAATAATTATTATTATTATTTCTTAAATACTCATTTTTTATTTTAGAGTAAAATATTACAATAATATTATCTTGTTTTTATTTAATAATACTTATATTTTTTAACAATAATAATAATTATTATTACTAGTTTTTTATTATTTTTTTATAGCCATATTGATATATACAATTTTGGCCAAATTGTGCAACCCTAACAACAAGCACATCAAACCTAATTTTTTTTTTTTTTTAAATCGCAATAAGATTTTTTTTTACCCCAAATTGTGCAGCCCTACAACTTCTTCCAACTCTATACAGCAATAATAATCCATAGTGCATTATTGAAATCCAATATGTATGATTATATTGTACTATTATTAATTATTACTTAATTATTCCAATAAAGCATGAGGCTGTGGAACTGTTACTATAGCAATACGATTATAATATTACAAATATGCACTTTTTTTACATCGATAAATGTGTGTTGATTATATCCTGTCGTATTGAAATTGTCTGCCCTTAAATCTATAAACCTGTAACAGCGAAGTACCAAAATTGAGAAAATTCACAAAAAGTCTTGTCTTTCATGTATAAGGGAAAATCCTAATGCTTCCAGAGGTTGAATATATCTCTTTTAAAGCATACTGTATAATGTTTTGTGTGTGAATTTAATCTAAAATGTCGCAAGAATCTCACTAATCTTTTCATGACTAACTTATCTGGAAACATACTCTATGCAAGTGCACAAATGCAGACGTGAATGCAAATATGCAGTCCCACTGTACATATTTTGCAAGCATGATTGCATTATAAAGCTCAGTTCTCAGGGGGGAGATGGTTTCCTTCAAATGTGATTTTAATTGAATTAGTTATTATTAAAGGGGTCATATGATGCGATTTCAATTTTTCCTTTCTCTTTGGAGTGTTACAATAGCTATGCACATGCTGACTTTGACTAACTTTACCTAATTGTTGCTATATTTGTCGGCGCCAATACAGCATACGACATACAGCACCGTTGCGCTACTAGAGTCCCGATTTCGAATCCTGACTTGAGGACCTTTCCCTATCTCGCCCCCGCTCTCTCCCACTTCACTTCCTGTCAGCTCTGATCTGTCCTATCATAATAAAGGTCTAAAAAAAATAAATCTTTAAAAAAAAAAGTTGCTATGTCATGACAGTAGTTTATCATAGAGAGAAAACTAACCACAAAAGAAGTTAAAGGGTTAGTTCATCCAAAAATGAAAATTAGGCTGTGTTTTACTCATCCCCGAGGCATCCTAGGTGTATATGACTTTCTTCTTTCAGACGAATCCAGTCGGAGTTATATAAAAAAATGTCTTTGATCTTTCAAGCTCTATCGTTGTACTCAGCGGGTGTTGCAGTGCTTCGGTTCAAAAGACCTGAAATAAAAAGCACCCATTATCTTGACAATGAGTCCTTGTCCTTTGCATTGGCCTCTACAAACAAGTAAAGATCATTTTTTGAAATTGGCACACTAATCTTTTTTTTCTCTCGATAAGATAGT